TAAAAAAACAAATTTTGTCAAACTGTGTCCTCCCTTATTGCAAACGCAAAGCTTGAGTATAACTGCAATAAGCATTTTATACTTATATTCCAACCCCGTACGAAGGACGGGTACTCTGCTAATGTTGTCATAAATGTAAAAAAATAATAGTAAATGCACCCTGTTGATAAACCTTGTAACTTTTTAATGCTATTCAATATCATAGAACCAACTTGTGTAGTTGAAACAGCTGACAAAATTCTTTTATTCCTTTTAAATATGATTACTCATAAGGTTAACATGGGAAACTCTAGAGCCACTGGGGCGGAGCCCGATAGGACTTTTGAGATAAGAATGCTCTATATGTTAATCGGGAATGTGAGCTATCATCATACCAAATTTCAGCCCAATCCGACCAGTGCTTTTTCGTGTTTACTTCTCACAAACATACATACATCCAAACTTTCTCATCTTACTATTATTATAAACTAGTGTTCCTGTTGCTCGAATTCGAGCAGTTGCTAAGTATTACATGTGTTATTTTTAAACGAATAACAGTCATAATTTCTGATTAATTAAAAAGATTCGACTCAAAGATTATAGAAATACTCACGATGTACATAACAGATTATATTATTTTATCAAGGCTCTCTCGATTTTTTCCATTGTAATATTTACGCCAACCCAAATTAAAATGGTAAATATCTCAATTCAACCAAGTTAGTAAATGTTTGTAGCAAACTTATTGACTGTTTACAATTAACATGTTTTTTTCTTCTCACTTCTCACTTCTTCTATCAACAGCTGGAGTTTCATAACAATTTTTGTTTCCTCTGTTAATCTTATGGAGAAATACGAAACTTTAAAGGGCCCCAGGGCCTAACTCTCTAATAATTTCCATAAAAAGAAAGTTTCCTGCACAGCTTCACGTCACGCTCTTTCCAATGACACCAAAAACATGTCAATCAGTTCAGTAGTTTCGGAGGAGTAATTGTCACAAAAACCCTGCTTGCGTATTAAATAAGTATAGATGTGAAAGTTTGTGTACTTGTTTGTTTGTTTGTTTGTTTGTGTGTTTGGAGTTCAATCACGCATAAACCACTAGACGGATTGGGCTGAAATTTGGCATGATGATCGCTTACATCCCCGATTAACATTAGTCAGCTGTTTCAACTAAAAAAGTTGGTTATATGATATGGAAAAGCATTAAAAAGTTATAAGATTTACCAACTGGATGCAGCACTATATATTTTTTGCATTTATGAAAACAGCTAATTTGAACTAAGCAGCAACAAAAAACTGTGATTCACAATGAGAACTGTCAAAGTAGGATTGTTTACAGTTATGTTTATGTTTTTCATTTCATCTTACATTCATTTCATCTTCATTTCCCTTCATGCACAGTATGAATAATTTGTAATATTTTGCGAATTGTTGATAATTTATTTTTCTCGATTGTTTTGGTGAAGTGGTAGAACATTATGGCTATGGTAGATGTGTAATACTACTGTAAATTTAAAAAAGCAAATTTTATCAAACTGTGTCCTCCCTTATTGCAAACGCAAAGCTTGAGTATAACTGCAATAAGCATTTTAAACTTATATTCCAACCCCGTACGAAGGACGGGTACTCTACTAGTTTATAATATTAGTAGGATAGCAGGATAGTAGGACTAGCAGAATACCCGTCCTTCGTACGGGGTTGGTATCTATATAAATAAAATTAGAGTTTTGTCTGTACATTGCTTAGAATAATGAACTTTTTGGTTATTTTTACATTTCATAGGTCAGAGAAACCGAATCAAACCTTATCTCAATTTCTGTCTGTCTGTCTGTCTGTCTGTCTGTCTGTCTGTCTGTCTATCTGTCATTCTCTTGGTAACGCTAAAATACGCACTTTATTACAACTACTCCTCAATAACTATAGCACTGTCCCGCCTGAAACTTATTTTCCAAATACTATACATATATGAGATGGTTTTAGACGTATTTCATCGAATATGAGACAGTTAGATATTTAACAGTAAACCCTTGAAAATCAAGTTTTTGTCGATTTTTGACGTGGAATTTCTGGAAGCCCATGTTAACCTTATGAGAAATGAAATTATTGAATCTTAACAGCTGTTTCAATTAAACAAGTTGGTTCTGTTCTGTGATGTTCAATAGCATTAAAGTTACAAGGATTACCAACAGGGTGCAGCACTAGCACTATTATTTCTTTTACATTTATGACAACAGCTAATTTGCAACCTGGAGGCGAGTGAGCGTAGCGAACGAGCTAACCTGAAGGCAAGTGAGCGTAGCGAACGAGCTAACCTGAAGGAAAGTGAGCGCAGCGAACGAGCTCCAACATACAGGTGAGTGAGCGTAGCGAACGAACTTCAACCAGGACGTGATTGAGCCATGCAAACGAGATCAGATAGTAAAAATAAAAGTAAGCCTACCGTTATAGGATCGACCGGCAGACACAGAGGTAATTTAACCTTTTATTGATTGTCATACCGATCCGGAACAACAAAAAACAACATAAAATGAAGCTATGTATAATAGTTTGGCCAGCATATCTTAAAATATGCAAACCAACTGCTGTTCTTTATATAAGAAGGTTTCAACTGAATATTATAAGATCCCCGTGCGTAGAACGGGTACACAGCTAGTATAAGTATAAAATGCTTATTGCAGTTATACTTAAGCTTTGCATTTGCAATAAGGGAGGATACAGTTTGATAAAATCTGCTTCTTTAAATTGATGGTATACTATAAAGTCTTACACATATACCATAGCCATAATGTTCTACCATTTCACCTAAATGTTCACCTATTAATAAATTGTATTTCCAAATGTTTGATGAAGCAGCAAGCAGCATGTTTGTAACTCTCTTATCAAAACATCAAATTCTCTTGGGATCAGTGGTGTAGTGGAGTGGTAACGTGAGGGAACTTGCTTTTACCAAAATCATATATAGTATTTTAATAGGCAACCTTTGTTTTTTCTGAGACGATGGTAAGCATTTCCACTCTGGAAAATTTACGCAACTACACCTCCGCCTGGTGTGTTTCTATAATACAGCAGTTCTTAATGAATCAAACCGACACACAAAAGTTTGGATTAACAAAAACACAGTACACACAAAATTTATTTATGTTAGCGTATCTTCCTTTCTGATGTATTCACCGATGTCGGCTTGGTGGATGCAGACTATTGCCATCGGATCAGCGTGTTAACAGTCTGTCGTGCTCTTCCCTGCTATTCCAAAACCCCGCAAAAAATAAATGTTACTCAATTTAAAAATACTAAATGCTAATGAATGGATAGGCCAGCCCTAAATTCTTAATTCCACAATGGTGGGCACAATTGTAATGTTGCTGAAATTGCAACTAAGAAAATAAGGGCAATTCAGATTTTTTGTGTTCCGCAGTTTTTAGTTTATTGACAAATATGACATTTAACATAGCACATGTTATAATTATATGTTGCAGGACATATTTTGTTAAGTTAAATTACCTGAAAAAGTGTTCAGGGAAATGTGTAAAAACCACTTCCCACGTTCAAGTATGGGGTTTGAAGCTTTGAAGCACTAACTGTATTAAATAGTATAGCGTAAAGTGATGCTTTTTGACCTGAGCTCAAGTTTGACGGTTGAGGCGAAGACAAGGTCGGATTATGAGCAAGGGTTGGAAAGATACTTTTTGCCCATGTGATGAACTATATTTCTTTGTCAAATTGCACTATAATTAAGGTAAACTAAGTTAAACGGAAATACTTTTAATGTAAAATTAACATAAAACTCTCAAAACTACCACCAACTTGTTTTAAATTTTGCTAATGCAAACCAGCAGCTGTTTAGTAAGGGATTCAATTATACTAGTGTGTCTGTTGCTCAAAATCGAGCTATGGTCAAGTACCGGTATTATACAGGGGTTATTAAAAAAATAACAGCCATCTTCTATGAGTGGCCAAAATTGAGCAATTGTCAAGTACCGTTATTATACAGGCGTTATTTAGAGTGTTAAATGTGGTAGCTGGAGGATTTTGAGCTATAGGTGGTGTGTTGTATCTGCTGTTTTGTTTTAATGTTTCCTCAGCTACGTTTACAAAATAGTAAATAAAGTGGTTTGCTATATCTTTAGGGCCAGTAAGTTTCTTTCCATTGTCATTTAATTCTATTGTAGAATTGTTGTCAAGCTCTTTCCTCCCTTTCCTCTCACTATTGATTGTGTCCCATATGGCTTTGGCTTTGTTTTCTGCTTTTTTAATGTATGCAGCAATTGTTTCTTGCCTTGCCTTTTTTAATTTTTGGTCGTAAGATTTCTTCTTATCTGTAGCTATCTTCTTGTGATCAGGATGACCAGTTAGGAGAAATTTGTCTTGTGCTATTAAAAACTCCTTTTTAAGTGTCATAGTTTCTTCATCATACATCAGTCGTTTACCCCTTTTTTGTGTAGTCCAAAATCTTTTTTTGGACATGCATTATCAATAATTGCAAGCTGGAGCGTTTGGTTGAAGTTAAAGTAGGCCTCTTCCACATCATTTGTTCTCAAAACAGGTTCCCAGGTTACAGTGGAGAGCTTATTTTTTAAGATCAGCAGATTGTTGTGGTTGAGGTTCCGTCGTGATGTATATAATGTTGCTGCTTTTGTTTTTGGAAGGTCCAGTGTGCAGTATTGTCCTGTGTGGTCTGATAGACCTGTGTAAGAGACCACAACTTTAATCATGGTGTGAATATTTGAACAACCTAAATATTTTATTTATTGATTGATTATTTATTTTCACTCAACAATGGTACTAAATGTCATGATTTATCAAGAGTCCATTCCATAATGTTCCATAGGTTTGTTAGGGACATAAGTAAGAAAAAAAATCCCTCACATAGAAGTTGGAAGGGAGCGCAATATCCCTCTGGCCCATAGCATGTCACATTCAAATCGCAGTTTGAAAAGAAGGTGTCGTAATGTCCAAAACTAAATTACAAATTAAAATTTACTTATTATTCATTTTTTAAATATTCCAAACTATTTCAGGTATATGTACGGGTATGATATCATTGGAGATTTGGAATTTAATGAGGCGGACAACATGTTCTATGTTGCCGAGAAGTATATGATGCCCAGACTGAAGAATAAGTTGGCTCTGAGGTTGACGACACTTCTGACCCCAGAAAACGTCTGCTCTCTGTTGAATAACCCAGCTTGTCGAGATCAACTTCAGCTCAACTCTCACATCACTCAGGTAATTAGTAGACAAATACTGTAGTTGTGTTTTGCGGGTTACACTCTGGTGTCGCAGACTACACTTTTTTATCCCGAGCACGTTGTACCTGAAACCAACCAGTGTTAGCTAATCAGAGCTTAATCTCTTTGACAGATGTTGAAGACCTCATCTCTGTATCGGACATGTGTTCCACAAGGCCAGTTTGGTGCTACATGTCATCCCCCAAGCAACGTCGTTAGTCAGCTGGGCAGACTACAAATTTTTGAGTGCTTTATTGAGCGTAGTATATTGTTTCATTCTGAGATATTCTTGAAACTTTAGTGGCCGTTAGTTCAGAAGATGGGTCGTCACAAACAAACTTGATGATTCCCTGATTGCTTTCCAGTACAGATAAACTTAAACCTCTCCTATCCTTCTAGTTTTAATTTTTTTGTTATTTAGACCCTACACACAATCTGCACTGTATTTTGATAAGTGCAAATAACAACAATAATTCCTCAACTCCTGACGACATTTTGTACTCAATTGACTACTAGTGCATAAGGAGTAATGTCTCAAACAAAAGGCAGGTTTTAAATATGCCACATTCAATACTTGATGCATCATATGAAGTAAGACGTAATGTATGGACAAGGCACCAGTGTGTCACCCACCTTAAGAATACCAGCAAAGATATTTTACCAAGTCTACTTCTTCATTGAACAACCCTGTGAAATTCAAAACAGTGACATTTTCTGTACCATTTCTTTCAGATCCTGCGATATGAGACAGACAAAGTGCTGGCAAGTCCACAGTTCTTGGATGTCTGTGCAGAAGGATTCATCACAATGTTGGAGCAGGATGGACTCGCAGTTGCTGAGATTGAGCTGTGGAGAGCTGCTGTAAAGTGGGCCAAACACAAAGGTTGGCCAAATACGTGTTATTTTAACTTGTATCACTCCTTATAGGTTTTCCTTGCCACTTTTTTGTATATCTACACAATAGATTATTTTAGAATTATGACTCAAAAGTAAAAAAAAAAACACTGACATTCTAGTTTGGTGTAATGAGGGAAGATCACAATATTCCGTGTAAGGGAAGAAGGTCTTGATTTTGCCATAAGATATTGTTACTGTATCCTCATTTTCACCATAAGAAATTTTTGCTACACTACTGTAAAATGACCTGTTCGTTACATCTTTATCACCTGCGAAAATTCATCATTACATTGTTTAATATGTACTTTACAATCTGTTCTATGAAAAATATGAACAATAAGTAAATATTATGAAACAATAAGTAAAGAAAGAAAGAAAGAAAGAGTTTTATTTCTCCATAAATATACAAATATGTATATAGAGAATAGTTATACATTGATTATGAGTAAGTACAATGTCATCTCAAAGCGTAAACTAACTTAGCACTACTGTTAAAAAAGTCATTCAAAGTATAAAATGCATTGTCATACAAATATTGCCTGACCTTCTTCAAAAAACAATTGTTAAAGTCTGTGTCTTTTTCTAATAATAAGAATTTACGAGTATTAATTACCCTACGAGTCATATAATCAGGAGATTTTTCCAATTTTGCTGTTGAGTGCGAGGGATATATTATGAAATTACTTCTTGTGTTATACGCATTTGTGTGATTTTCAAAAAGGATTCTATTTTCATGAAGTATTTACATAAGTCATAAATATAAAGACAAGCAAAAGTTAATAATTTTGATTCTTGAAATATTTGTTGACAGTGCTCATCAACAGGAATATGATGCAAAATTATAATGGCCCTTATCTGAATTTGGAATATTCTATTAACATTTTCACACGAAGTACTACCCCAAATTACCAACCCATAAGTTAATCTAGATTGAATAGTTGCAAAGTAAACAGTTTTTTAAATGATTTTATTAACTGAATTTGATAGTACTTTAAGAGCAAAACAAGAAGAATTTAATTTTTTACTTAAAGTATCAATATGTATAGAAAATTCTAATTTCGAATCGATGGTTATCCCTAAAAATTTATAAAAAAGATTTTCGGTTTTACTTGAATTTCGTAAAGGTTCACGAGTTTTTAATTTGATTATTTCAGTTTTGTTTTCATTTAATTTTAATCCATTTTCTTAAAACCAGGTGCTTAAGTTAAAAATGCAATCCTCAATATTAAGAACAAGACCACCTTGACTCCCTTCTTGGACTACTACAGTAGTGTCATCAGCGTACTGAATTGTATTTGAAAAAGTGGAATCAGCATTTTTGGGCAAGTCTGCGACATAAATTAAAAAAAGAATTGGCCCTAATATAGGCTAAGTCACAAAAGATTGCTGCAGAGGAGGTTTTACTATCCATATTCTTAATGATGAAATCGATAAATTTAGAAACAGCATCTATGGTTGAAAGTTTTTGCCTGAATTCAAATTGTTCTTTGTTAATTATTTGATGTTTTTCAAGATAAGGTAGAAGTCTGTTTAAAATTACTCGTAGGCCTACGCTTCTTTGCAGGAACTGTGACCTCAATCTGATCCCCTTTATAATGGGATTGGGAAGGTATAACATTTTTGTCAGTACACCCAAGACTGTGCATTGGTGTTACGCATGAAGAACTGTCACTTTTATGTTTAAGGACGCTATAGTGTCCATCATCTAAATTACCTGTGAAGAGTAGGTTGTGAATTATACTACCAGAACCAAATTCAATTATTGATTAGATTTAGTATGTTCAATGTGCACCTTAAATTTACACTCGTGAAATAATTCACCAGCACTGTTAAGTTCAACATGCCCTGCTTTTTGTCCATTGGCGGACATCACAGTTTCGTAATCACTAACGTTCTTAATATAATGTCCATAAGAAGTGTCCCCAACTATGAAATATCTATATAAATTCCACTTTCTTATTACATCATCAACAATAACTGATCTTATTTCAGAGTGTCTATTTTCACTACCATGCAAACAGTAAGATATAGCACGAAATAAACAGTTTCCGTCTCCAACAATAGGAATCATATCAAAAGTAGGAAAATTAGTCTTCAAAGAATTATTACTCACGGTAATTTGCCCTATCTTTGATGAAGTAGCGTTGTGTGACATCGGTACTACATTAGACTCATTTGGAATCTTGTCTAAAAAGGCACAGCTTGAAGACCGCTTTAAGAATGGTTTTTCAACTAAAGTCTTTCTTGTAAAATTGACACCTCTCTCACGCCTTCCTGTTAAAGTCGAATTGCGCCTTCGCTTCTTTGCATGAACTGTGACCTCAATCTGATCAGCTTTACTATGGGATTGGGAAGGTACATTAGACTCATTTGGAATCTTGTCTGAAAAGGTACAGCTTGAAGACATCTTTAAGAATGGTTTTTCAACTAAAGTCTTTCTTGTAAAATTGACACCTCTCTCACGCCTTCCTGTTAAAGTCGAATTGCGCCTTCGCTTCTTTGCATGAACTGTGACCTCAATCTGATCAGCTTTACTATGGGATTGGGAAGGTACATTAGACTCATTTGGAATCTTGTCTGAAAAGGTACAGCTTGAAGACATCTTTAAGAATGGTTTTTCAACTAAAGTCTTTCTTGTAAAATTGCATAACTATATACCTACAGAAGACATTCCAGGCTTATGGGCCGGTAGTAGTGTGAGCCAGGTCTCGGGAGTAAGTAGTTGATGTGAGCTGCCGGTAGGCGCGCAATAGTAGGATTTTTTTCTATCTGCGCTCTCTCTCGCACATTCCCCCCTCGTCCCGCGGCCTACTCTGCATCGCTCTTACTTGCACATTCCTTCTCTCTTTGTCTCGCTTCCCCACCGACAATGTGCAAGTGACTCAGTGACTGACACTGACGCTACGTCGCTACACTACAAACTACATTACAACTGCTCGGGCAATGAATACAAGCTGGCGCTCGTCAAACCTTACGTTAATGTAGGCCTAGCTCACACGATGATAACTTATCATCGATGATAACATTAGCATGTGTGTTGCGCGATTATGTGGTACGGGAACATATGATTTGATGTGAACGAGTACTCTAATAAATACAGGCGCAATTAATATGTTGCGCAAATATATTGAGTACTCGTGATATTTTGAGTAAGTTAATTAATTTGAGTTTGGTTAAGATATACAAACTTTAATATTTAAAATAACAGCTTAAAAACTCTAAAAATTAAACATGCATTGTCATACAGCAATAAATCATATAATAAACAAACCTACTCTTGTTAGCTTCTGCTAGTCATCATTGGCTACCGGAATGTGCTGTTTCAAAACAGATGCATTTTGGTGATAATAATTATAACTACCATACATGTTACCGTAATTATAAATAAATCATTTTTAAACCAATAAAACACTTAAATCCTGATATATATACAGGGTGCCCCGTTAGTAAACAGCCAAACTCCGGGAAATGGTTCTATGGGTTAAAATAAAGAGAAAATCAAGAATACATTTTTTTCCAAAATCGCTTTGTTAACCAGATATCCACCATTTTGTATTTTTTACATAGGGTAAACATTTTTATTTTTGGATTTTTTCAACCGATCGTTATTAAACTTGGTATGTAGGTTAAGGTAGAAGAGCCCCGTAGAAAAAAAAACCATCTAGATTCATCTTAAAATTTAAAAATGGCGGCCATTTTAATTGTTTTAACTTGAATGACTAAAAAAAGAGCCGTTTTGTTCATTATATGATTTATTATTACTGTATGACAATGTTTGTTTAATTTTTAGAGTTTCTTAGGTCTCATTTTAAATATCGAAGTTTGTATATACAGGGCGTTTATAAAAGAATCATCAGGTTTTAAAACATTTTATTGACGCTAATGTTGAACAAATACGGTTATAAAACATATCAACATTAAGGAGAACTCTTAAATTTTTCATAGATACCCCTACAACTTGTCAATGTGCCGTCCATTAGCCATGGAGCAAGTTTCCAATCTATGCTGTAAATTGTCCTATACCCTGGCTAGCATCGCTAGGTTGATTGATTCTACACGGCATTGCGAATTCGTCCACGGAGCTCTTGAAGTGTTTGAGGCATTGGCGGTATATAAACTTTGTCTTTTACATAGCCCCATGGAAAAAAATCACATGCCAAAAGATCAGGGGATCTAGGGGGGCATTTGAGAAGGGTAAAGTCATTATCGTTACATTTGCCAATCCACCTCAGTTTTTAAGAGAACTCTTGCGCGGCCACTGATTTTACTTTTTAATACACTTCCAGAGTTCTTAAACTGTCGATACCACCTTAAAATGCTTTGTTGTGTAGGAGGAGTCTGTCTAAAATGCCCCCGAAACTCACGCTGGGCAGTTATTGAAGATAAACTTGAGTCATAATGAAAAACACAAAATGTTTTTCTTGAATTTTAATCATTTTGAAAACCTTGCAAACACGTCCAAGAAAAAACCAAGACTTGTTATTGAACAGCTGATTATAAAACTTGGAAACATGCTTATTAAGCACATGTTTCAAATATTAATGTGGGACATGAATTGGGTGAGGTACACGCCATTAAAACCTGATGATTCTTTTATAAACGCCCTGTATTAATCAAACTCAAATCAATTGCAGTACATACCTAAAATATCACGATTACTTAATACGTTGCTCAACATTGTTGTTTTCATTTTTTGAGGTGTTGCCTTCCGGATAATTTAACACGAGATATAAGGAACACCTACCGAAACCATCCTTCCACAAATCCAATTCCGAATCTAGATCATTTGACTAATTATAACCACTTTTTAAATTTAATTGCTGACGTTTTCTCCAATTATGAGTTTTCCATGTTAGCTTTGAATTTCAATGGATAAAAGTACTAAGTAAGTAAGTATCTAAGTATTTAACCTCAGTTACTTCAGGAAGTTGCATATTGTTTATTCTGACAGGAGGGCAAGCATTTTGATTCGAGTAAAAGAAAGGTGAACAGATTTAGTTTAATTAATTGTGAATGTCCATGTTTTAAACCAATCAGTTATTATATTCAGGTTTTGCTGTAAATTTTGAGAAGCTTGAACTGGATCTTGATGAACGGACAAAATTGCAGCTTCATCCGCAAATGTAGCAATTTTTTACAAACTTATTTTTATAATTAGAAAATTCATCATTTCATTGTTTACTACAGCAAAAGAAAGTTTACTATATGAAAGTAATGTTTGCTATCTTTTTTTTGATTTTGCTGACGTAAACATACAAAGATTTGTTATTGTTTTGTCAACTCTGTTTTAATTTTCAACAACTCAAACTGTACAACCAAAGTAAATATCAGGTGTACCCATCTCCTAGCATAATGTACTAAATAGTATATTTCGTACCTAGGGCTGAAAATGAGGTTTTGTCGGCTCGAGATTGTTTTTAAGTTTGAGACGAAGTCGAGAACTTAAAACGATCGAGAGCTGCAAAACCATTTCGGTCAGTGGTACGAACGCTATTTTTCACCACACTATACCCTATTACCACTATTCACTACACTATTTCTACCACAATAATAATGCACACTGATAGTCAACACAACTACAACTTTAAGGTTATGTGAAGAAATAATTTTTGAGGAGTCAGCAAAAATAATAATAAATAGTTGCTTGGCAGCGGTGACAATAAAACAATAATTCTATTGCTATGCTATGGATACTGAGATCGTGTATTTAAAATATACATTCTTTGACCCTCAACCTCCTAGAGAACAGTCAACATGTCTACAGACTAAAAAGAGAAAATGTTTTAGACCTTCCGACTCGATTTGAACAGCAGCTCTGAAATTTATTTTCTTTGTTTGTTTTTTTTGCTGGTGCTAAAGCTGTTTAGCTGCTAACTCATGCTTTCCAATTTTTTATTTTATTGTTAAAAATGCCATCATATTTACTTATTGTTTAATGCAAAACAGATTGTAAATAAAACTATATGTTAAAAACAACAAAAAATATGTTAAGAAAGTAAACGGGCAGCTTATTTTGCGGCCCTAGGGATGTAAAAACCTGCTCGGTCCCCAAATGACGATGACAGCTGGCATGGCCAGCAAAACGTAACTTTCAGCCACCAATTAACGTAGTATGTAAAACAGATAAAAACATCATAGTGTGGTAAAAAAAAAAACAGTTTTGTAGGCTTAAAATTGTTCTCCAAAATTAAATATGCCACTGACCAAATGATTGTGAAATATTCTTATGCAGTGTAAATTTGTTGTTTTTATTTTGTCAAGATTGACTCTTTTCGATTTAGATAAGCCTAGTATCCCCACAAATATCTCTAAAACATGCCATTGTTTTGTATTATCGCTAACAACAAATAAATGTTACAGTTAACAGTGAAGATGGGCAAGTGTTGAGACAACAGCTTTCTGGAATCTCAGAACATTTGAGGATTTGCACTTTAAATGCTGAACAGTTCTGTAAAGAAGTGGCTCCTACAAAAATACTCAACAACAACGAACTGATACTTGTGGCACAATCTATTGGAAATACGGAAAAGATAGAAGAAACAATCATATTCAACAATGAGTTGGAACCAAGGAAAAGATTGTTCAATGATATAAGACTATGCAAACTATCTAAGTCTGCCTCTTGTCTACAGGAACTCAAACTGACCAACCCTTCAGGACAATCGTCTGCTCGTGTAACTAACTTTGACATTCTCACCAAACAGTGTGCTGTAGAGTTGTTGCCATTGGTTTGTATGGGACAAAAACGAGACATAATGTATCCTCAAGGCTGGACATATCCTGTCAAGGGGAGAGTCACAGTATACAAGTTTGCAGCTTCTAATAATTGGTCTAACCCTCTTGCTGAGCTCACTTTCCACAAGGAAGTAGAGTATGGGCAAACATTTAATGTTCCATTCACTGATGATGGGTATAATGTGGTTTTGTTACCACACAGTAAGTATCATATTAATGTAGAATTGGAGCAACACGTTCTATTCTTTAAGTTTGAAAGTGGTTCAATCTATGAGAATGAACATTTGGTGTTGCAACGCAACAGTACTCATTTCTGTTCAAAAAGCCTCTGCTATAGACTGGAAGATAATTGAGGATTGACAATGTTCTCAGTGATGTACTTAACTCAGAAGTCACTTTCCTGCATCAAACATTCCAATGACTTATTATATTTTTACGATATTGTACAAGGGTAAATGTGTAATTAAATGCTTTGCCTTTTCATAGCACAAATTTAATTTGTTCTTTTTGTTTCCTTCCTTCATTCTAACAAAAATACATCACAGTCTTGCTTATTCAAATTTGATTGGGCCCAGACTGTGTTTGGATCAGTAGAAAATGCAGTAAAGATGCATATAAAAATGTAGTTTTATGATTGTAGAAGGCCATGTATTCCTCTCTCGATCACAATACTATGATCGTCTTCTGAAATCACGTTTTTGCTAATTGACAACCTTAAAGAAAACTAACAAAACACAGTTATCAAAAAAACATTCACAAATGCTCAGTAATGCCCCATTGGCAGTCATTCCAAATTTCTTGGTTACATACCAAATTCACACATAATTGTAGGTTATCTGTTACTGTGGATTAGTAGTGTGGAGGGACTAAGGCTAACATATCTTGTAGTGTCAGCGTTCGCCGCTAGAACTGCTAAGTTGAAAAAATTAAAATTATTTTTTTTTTTAATTTTTTGCTATAAAATTAACTTTTTAATTATAAAATATTGTTTTAAAATTATAAAATTAATTTTTAATTTTTAAAATTAAACTGTCATAACATAACCAACCAGACTTGCTGATAATATAAAAACTCTACCGGGTGTCCAAAACCACCCGTACACCCCTTTAAAAACGTGGGAAACCTTTTCTTACAAACAAAAAATAATACAGAACTAGATAATTTGGGCACGGTCTACCAAATGGTGATAATTTCAAATCCAAAATCACACCGGAAGTGGCTTTTTCAGACCGGAAGTTGACTTTTTTAAATGTGAACTACCGATTTTGATCACAGAATCGGATTCTACGTTAAAAAATACATACTTTTGTCAAAAACATTTTTTTTTTAAACTTGTTTTCTACCTCTAATCCCCTATTAAAGTCAACAATTTTGGGTCTTTAAAAGAAATCAATTGTTTTTACATTAAAGTTGTCAAAAGTAAAAATACCCCCGCCGCAGCAAACCTGCAGACTAAGCGAATTTCAACTTGTCTGATTACATTTTTACTCAAATATTTCCATAAATAAGACATATTTATTTCCTATTTAAATAACATTAAATTTAACAAGTGCTTAGGAGTTAGGTTTGCTGCTACGGGGAAGGTAAAAAGTGTTTTTTGACCATACGTGAATAGTATGGGATGAAATAAATAAATTTGCCAAATTTTATCAATATATATCCATAAACAAATAAACTACAACAATTTTTATTTTCTCCATAAGAATAACATGGGAATTTTAAATTAAACTATTTTTGAATTTTCTCCGTGACCGTTAGGCATACAACAGCGCTTCAATATACTAAATTATTTCTTTTTTTAAGCTCTACAAAACGGTTTCGAAATAAATTGCAAATTTTTTTGTTTTTAGGGTAAAAAATGGGAAAAATACATTTTTACCCCATAAAACCCCCCATAAACCCCTGTTCCCATGGTCCGATTATGCTGGATCGCGAACTCGTTCGAATACACGTAGGTTTACACGTTTGTACCAAATTTCATCAAAATCGTATCATTTTTGCTCGATTTATCGCGCTAACGGACATATATATATATATATATATATATATATGAATTTGAACGGATGGTGTTTTTGGCCTCTAGGGACCTCAAAATGAAAAAAAATCGGTCCCACGTCCAGGTCTTACCATGAGTACTACGGTAATACTGTAGCTTATTCCGTAGTTTACGCCATACTACTAAATCTGTACAAATCATGATATATTACCACCAACTAAAGGACTAAAAATCACTAGTCATAATATGTTTTTTTTGTAACTACTCAATGCCACCCAAATACAGTATAATCAGCTGATTGGTGTCCGGTAATAGTTATTTACCTTACAAGTGTAGTAAGAGCGTTTTTACATCACGCAGGTGAAGGTTGTGCAACGAGCGGAAGCGAGTTGCATAATTTACCTAAGTGATGTAAACACGCTCTTGCGTAACGTGTAACCATAGATAAAACCGTATGTTTTATCTATGATAAAACATACTCCCTTAGTAGATTTCTCATCCTTATGGAACAGCTGAAGACAATTTTATTGTTAGTTCATGTACGGTTTATGTAGAGGTCGTGTTTTGTTTACAATTTGTTTCCCGTTATTACAGCCATTTAAAACCTCGTTTAACCAAATAATACGATCTAATCATAAACAATAACTTGTCCCCTAGTTCAGTAAAGCACAAATCAAGAAATTAACCCTAAAATAATGGAAACAAAGATTCATCGACACTAGCGCCTTTGTGTCACGTACATGAACTAGACACGAAAAACGTGCTTCAAAATTTACAATGGGATGAGAAGTCTACTTGTGTTGGTTAGTCTATGGTGTAACGTACAAGATTTTACCTGACCCGACATATATAGGAGGTTACGAACATTATTAATCATTATCCATTTCACTCATCTTCTAACAGTAACGTTCATTTACAAACAAAAGCTAGGTTAGGAAAATTCTTCAAAACATAACAATAAAATTCAAGAGCACAGCTGATTTCTAGCGTTGAACGTCGTTGGCTCCATAGAGGTATATTTTTTAAGTTAATCACTCAATGTTATTTAAATGGGTTTCATTACATCACCGAGTGAGTTTTTGATACTTTACATCACTCGAGAAGTAAGGAAGTTGTATACATCACGCTTGGGATAGGGAAGTTTAACATGGCGGGTTAGGTAAAACCATAGATAAAACATACTCCCTTAGTAGATTTCTCATCCTTACGGAACAGCTGAAGACAATTTTATTGTTAGTTCATGTACGGTTTATGTAGAGGTCGTGTTTTGTTTACAATTTGTTTCCCGTTATTACAGCCTTTTAAAACCTCGTTTGAACAAATAATACGATCCAATCATAAACAATAACTTGTCCCCTAGTTATATAACTAAACAGTAAAGCACAAATCAAGAAATTAACCCTAAAATAATGGAAACAAAGTTTCATCGACACTATTGCCTTTGTGTCACGTACATGAACTAGACACGAAAAACGTGCTTCAAAATTTACAATGGGATGAGAAGTCTACTTGTGTTGGTTAGTCTATGGTAAAACTCATTACAGTACAGTAATGATGCCGCGCCAAAATGGCACCAGTGGCGCTGCGGCGGGTCTAACACGAACTACCTCACCATCAACTTGGCTGGGGAATCGAGCTCGCCTCAACGACCCCATATATATGACTTATCTACTTGAGGAGTATGTTTTATCATGATAAAACATAAGTCTATGGTTTTATCATAGACTAACCAACACAAGTAGACTTCTCATCCCATTGTAAATTTTGAAGCACGTTTTTCGTGTCTAGTTCATGTACGTGACACAAAGGCGCTAGTGTCGATGAAACTTTGTTTCCATTATTTTAGGTTTAATTTCTTGATTTGTGCTTTATTGTTTGGTTATATAATTAGGGGACAAGTTATTGTTTATGATTAGATAGTATTATTTGGCTAAACGAGGTTTTAAATGGCTGTGATAACGGGAAACAAATTGTAAACAAAACACGACCTCTACATAAACCGTACATGAACTAACAATAAAATTGTCTTCAGCTGTTCCATAAGGATGAGAAATCTACTAAGGGAGTATGTTTTATCTATGGTTTTATCTATGACACTACTTATACTACTACATACTCCCTAAGGAAGGGAGTATGTTTTATCTATGGTTTCAGTTCGAGTTCAGTCAGTCCTAGCTCAGTCTGAGTCTAGCTAGTCGTTCTGTGAAAATGAAATAGTCATAAAAGTGTTAAAAGAATCATTCAAAATCATTTATATGGACAACGTTATTAATCTATGTTACATGTTACAGTATTTATATCGTAAATTTAAGTTTTTTTTTTTACTGTGTCTAATAGGCAAAGTGTATTAATAAACTCGGTTTTCAAAATAAAATAAACGCAGAGGATACGCGTCCGGTAACCGGACGTGGATTAGGCGTCCGGCAGTTACTGTCATAACCTAACCTAACCAACCAAACTTGCTGATAGTGAAAAAAATCAAATGAAGGTTCAATTCTCATCATAACATAAAATTATAAATGCCAAAAATTCTAACAAAAGATGTACAGTTAAGAAGAAATTACATTCAAAGAAAAATCTGTGACAAAAAGTTTAAGCTACCGATAGGTTTCGAACCGGGGACCTCTCGCATATCAGTCGAGCACTCTATCCACTACACCACGAACACTGATGGCTGAACATCGTATCATTGTGGTAATGGCGTTCCGGGACCCCCTACCGGACGCCTAATCCACGGCTGGTGTCTGGTTACCGGACGCCTAATCCACGTCCGGTTACCGGACGCGTATCCTCTGTGTAAAACAAATCGCTCTCGCTCTCATCATTCATAACATAACATAGCAGAGCACGAGCGGCACAATAGGCCTAAAGCCGCGTTTACACCGGAGTTTGAAACACGAGTTGCAAACAGAAATTGCAAACATCTCTAAAAACGCCCATTTTCAGACGAAACTTTTCGCTGTTGCAAACAGTTTTTCGGTGTTTGCAACAGAAATTTTTGTTTCCACTTGAAGTCGGTAAAGATCAAAGGGAGTTGCAAACTCTTTGTTTGCAACACTAGTTTCGGTCACTATGAGCCGATGAAACACAAAACAGAAACATTTCTCCGCCATCCCCTACGCTACCACCTCCTGTCTCACTCACGTGATCACTCGTACCACCCTGTATCTCGACTCAGTACCCTGTCTGGACGGCTACCTCGTTATTGTTGTGACTTATCTCGTATCGTGCGTGTTGTGAGTGATGATCTACTGAGTGAGATGGAGTGAAGAGATTACAATATTATTAAGTTAATTAGCTTTTATAAGAGAACATGAAGTGCTTTGGAATCAAACTATTTCTGACTGTAAAAACAAAAATAAGAAAAACTATGCGTGGAATGACATTTCACGGGAAATTAACTTAAGCAAGGCAGAGGTCCAAAATAGGATGAGGAACCTCATAATTTAATTTAACATAGAATCTAAAAAGGGCAATAAGTGTGGAT